TTGTTAACCAGTGTCATAAAACAATATGTGTACTACTGTTTAATGAGAAACTATTTGTTCTGTAAACCTTCACCTGAAGTACAATTTAAAAAAAAAAAATCAGTCATTGAAAACCCTCTGGAGCACAGTTCTACTCTGATACACATGGGGTCGCCATGAGTCCAAGTCAGCTCAATGGCAGCTTGTTGGTTGGTCATCAGTGGAAAGTGAACCCTGCTGTGCTGAGGGAACTGGAACTGCGCTTTGAGTATTAAACATGACACTGAGAGGTTGGTGTGAGACAGTATTGGTGATGAAGGGTGAACCCTGTTTTCTTCTTAATTTCAGTTCCCAGAAGATGCTTTCTGTAAACATTTGTTTGGAAGGACATTCTTCCTTGGTGACCATGGCCTAAACAGCCCAGGTTTCCATCTCTGATTGAGGCCCATGGTCCATCCTTGCTTAGAGGTGGACAGGTCAAAGGACTTGTGGTTAAAATCCTGGCTTTTCCTCCTGGTCTCAATCCATTTGCTGAGAGGCCTCTTCTTCATGCAGTCACGATGCCACCTGTTCCCCCCATTTCACAACTTTATGTTTAGTTCCTTAGTGCTTGTCCAGAATGTTTTCTGGCTGCTTCATTGCCTTGGTGGTTAGTGTTGATCCTTGGCTGGAACGGTCTGTAGTTTTAGCCACTTCTTTACTTATCATTACTTAATCTATAGTTATCTACTACATAAAAGAACAAGTCATTTAAGAGAGTGTCTACTGGTGCCCTCACTTTGTTGGCCATTCTTACCGATGTCTCACTTATGTAAATTCATTGGCAGTCAGGCACATGGGAAATTTCCAATTCATGTTTACAAACTCTAAATTCTCTGGGGCCTGGGGAGGCTCCATACACAATCGGGGCCCTCTCCTGGCCCTGGAGCTGACTCTGGAGCTAAGCCTCTGCTCAGGGATCGTGCTGGAGTCAGTTTTGTCCTGAAAGTATGCAGTGCTCTGAGGTTACTGGTGATGCCTCACGGAGGTGCTGGGAAGCAAGCCTGAGAGCTGCTGGTCTAGAGCCCATAGGGCTGTGGCCTCGCTGCTGGTGGCCTCCTCTAGGCCTATCGGGCAGCATGACCTGATGTGTGAAGGTATGGTGAGCAGGCCGGTGGTTGTGTGTCTGGCTTCTGCTTATCGCTTGGATTTCTGTTTTGACTCAAGCCAGAATATCAGCAAAAGCCGCAAAGTGAACACACTCATGATTTTTCCCATTTGTTCTGTCTTCCAGGCTAGCCTGAAAGCTGACTGTGTAAATAAGCCCTTTGCACAGCGGTGCCAAGACTTGGTTAAAGTCATTGAGGATTTCCCAGCAAAGGTACAGCACTACTAGCGTCTTTCTTGGGGCTTGTTCTACACGCTTATTGAAAAGCTTTATTATTGTCCACGATTCCTGCCTCTAAGCACTGTCTGCCACAGAGGCCTGTCCTGGTACTATGACTATTAATGTTTACGGCCATATTTAAACACATAGATCAGGTGTTCTCCACCACGGGTGCTCCTGTCCCATAGGAGGCACTTGACAATGTCTGGAGACATTTTTGGTTGCCACAATTTGTGGGGGGAAAGTACTGCTGGCATCTACTGGGTAGAGGCCAGGGATGCTGCTTAGCATCCCCCCACAGCAAAGAATTATGCGGCCCAAAATGTCAATTGTGCCATGGTTGGGAAACTCTGATGTAAATGCTTAAAATATGAATTTAAATTATATTCAGAATTGTCAAATAGTATCACTAAGCCCTGGAAGCTGACCTGGATGGGGAGTTAATATTAAGTGACAGTAAGTCATAGTTATATTTTGGGGGCTCACGCTAAGAAAGAATGTGCCACTCTTTTTGGTAGAGCTCTCATCTGTCAGAACTTTCCAATATTTAGAAACAATCTTTTTGCCGTAGGCTGGTTATATAGCTGACTCAGATATAAAGCAGTACTGCCTTGTCAGCCATAGAACCACAGAGAGTTCAGCGCTGCCCCTGTGTTGGCACTGCTGCATCGGAGGCTCCGTGGGTGCAGGTCTTGGTCTGTGGGTCTCTGAATGGGAAGTGACACCTTCAGAATGAGCGCAGGGCCGCCAGGACAGGTGGGCAGCACATGGTGCTGGACTGGAGCTGAGTGGCGGCCCTGTGTGGCACCCCTAGTCCTGGTCCCCACAAGCTTGCCTGCAGCCTCACCGGCACCCTGTTCCAGGAGCTGCACGCCATTTTCCCATGGCTGGTGGAGAACATTTTTGGCAGTCTGGACGGCGTACTCATCGGCTGGAATCTCCGTTGCCTACAGGGGCGCGTGAACCCTGTAGAATACAGCATTGCAATGGAGTTTCTAGACCCTGGGTAGGTAGGTGTGTTGCCTGGGAGGTTCTGTGTATTTCCTTATGGTGATCCCACTTTTACATCACTCTATTTCTTAAAGAAACAAGTCAAGGTTAGCAATTCACCTGCCTGTTTTTTTTTTGCCTGTTTAATTTTGTGCTCAGTGGCCCAATGATGAAGTTGGTTTATAAACTACAAGCCGAAGACTATAAGTTTGACTTTCCAGTCTCCTACCTTCCGGTAAGTACGTGTGCTGTGATGGCAAGAACAGTGCCTGGGGCAGAGTGGGCCCTGCACGGTGGCTGCAACGTGGTGAGCATGCAGGGCCTGGAGGGGCTGTGACACTGGGCAGAGAACACTGCAGGGTCTGTTCAGGGCCAGGAGGCATTGCAAATTAGAAGTTAAACAACTGCTTAGATTGTTTTTTAAAGATAATTCCAAACTCTGCAAATGGACTAAGTGACAGGCCAGGCCTGTGACCTAGCTGCTTTGCTCTTCTGAGTCTCCAGTGTGTCCGGGCAAGTGGAGGGGTGATCTGCTCCGTGGGTATAAGAAGCAAAGCCAGTGGGGCTCATCATGCACCTGGCAGAGCTCAGAGCGAGTGGGCTGCTGCCTTTGCTGGTTGCGAGCTTTTGTGGGGACGATAGGTCTCTCAAACAAGGCTCTTTGCTCTCACGTCACCCAGAGCAAAGGCATAGCAGGTTTTATGCTGTCTCCTCCTCAGGAGCCTCTCAAAGGGCTCTATTGTTGTGAGGGGAGGTGGGTATATGCCTGGTTCCTGCTCAGAGCCTCTGACCCCTCTCTGCAGGGCCCCGTCAAGGCGTCCATCCAGGAGCGAGTCCTCCCTGACAGCCCTCTGTACCACAACAAGGTCCAGTTTCCCCCCAGTGGGGGCCTCAGCCTAAACCTGGCCCTCAGTATCCTTTGTGTCCTGCAGTTGGGGAGGCTGGAGGGTGTGAGCACACAGTGGGGGATGGGGAGGCCCAGAGCACAGTGGGGGTTGGGGCCCCAGTGCACAGTGGGTGGGGTCCAATAACCTTTGTGCAGTCGCTCCTTGATGCTGCTGTCAGATCCCTTTGAGTATTACATATTCTTCTTCGCCTTGAGCCTCATCACTCAGAAGGTACAGGAGGGGCCTCTGGGCAGAATGATTTACCTCAGCCTCCTGGGGGAGGGTGGGTTCTCATTTCTGAAGAGAGTGGAGGGAGTTTGGAGTTTGTCTGGGAGCCAGCTGCTGCCTGTCTCCATTTCTCCTTTCCCTCTAGCTGGCTCTCTGCCTCACTCTTCGGGCTCACTCTTCTTCCGACCTTTGCTAGACCCGTACTCCCGCTCTCGGGCACTCCTCCTTCACTGAGGACCACAGTTCTTTGGGCAGACCTAACCACAGTGCAGGGTGACCTGGCCACCCTGAGGGGTGCTGGCTGGTGTGGGGCTGGGCGGCCAGCAGAGCACAGTGCTGGGCCTTCCCCATTTTCTTCATCCCTTTTTCCCTTTTTCTCTCTCATCTGTTCTGTCAGTGCTTCATATTGTTCCCTACCTGGTACATTTTTGCTGAGTGTTTACAATCTGGTGGGGGAGACACTTGTAGGGGACCGAGAGAAAAGCTGTAAGACAAGGCCCTCCAAAGGGTTGCATCCTGGGCCCACTCAGCAGAACAGGGGTGTCCTGACTGGAAGGTGGAAGGTCTGGTTAGGCCTTGAGTGGAGGGAGCTTCTCCCCTTAGCTCGACCCTGGGTGCTTGTGGCCTGGCCCCAGGACTGCAGTGTGTCGTACACGGGAGCTCTGTGGTAGTATGCAGCAGCCGGGGTGACACCCAGAGCTGCATGCTAATGACATGCTTGCTTTTCCAGCCACTGCCCTTGTCCCTCCATGTCCGGACTTCAGACTGTGCTTACTTCCTCCTGGTGGACAGGTACCTATCGTGGTTCCTGCCCACAGAAGGCAGCGTGCTCCCCCCACTCTTCTCCAGTCCTGGAGGGTCTAGCCCCTCGCCTGCTCCCAGGTAAGGCTGCCTTGGCCCTTCCCACAGAGAGTTACCTAGTCAGACTGGCAGCCTTTGTCCAGCGTGTCCAGCTTTTCTTGTGCCTTAGTTTCCCTAGCATAGCCAAGGGCATGCTGGTGGTCTGTGGCATCACAGAAGCCCTTGGGTCTTCTGGCTGCATTGACAGGGCCTTGGTCTGGCATGGCAGGTGGCCGGTGCTCTGCCCTCAGCAGCACACCCTCCCCGCCCTGGAGGTGGTAAGCAGGGTGGAGAGACCGTGAGGCTGAGTCAGGAGAGTTGATGAAGGCTCTGGGAGTGTTCGTTCTGGAGAGAAAGGACCTGTAGGCCAGGCCTCAGAAGGGTTGTCCCTGAAGGGCGATCCTGGGTGCTGAGCCTCTTTTGGCCCACGCAGGCAGGCCTTAAGTCATGTGCAACAAGCTTTGGCCTGAGGAGGGTGCATGGGGCCTCTCATGCCCTAGCACGGGGGCGCTGACTACTGTCCTCAGAAGGTGCTCTAGCTCCAGCAACAGCTGCCTTTGCTTCTCTGACCTCCTTACTTCGATGGTCCATCTCCTTCCATGGGAGCTGCAGGCAGGCTGTTTCCTGCAGGTGCTGGCCCTGCCCAAATCTGGTGTCTTTGCACCAGGCCAGGCCTCACCAAAGACACTTCTTTCACCCATGTATGTGGACAGTTGCCCACAGGAAGAGGTGGACTGAAAGGGTGAGCATGGCAGGGGTTGCCTGGGCAGGTGGGCGTCTACAGAGGCCACTGTGCTGGTGACACTGCAACCCAGGAGGAGGACATGAAGGTGGGCTGCTGGCACACCCCTCAGGATCTGAGCCTGGTTCTGTCTGATGTAACCTTTTGGAATAATTTCAGACTTACAGAGAAATTGCTGTGAATAATATAAAAAAAATTTTCATAGACCCTACCCCCAGATATTTGGACTGTTGACACTGCCACATTGGTCCTATCCTCTGCGTTTACCTGTGTGTAGTTTTTTCTGAACTATTTGAGTAGGTTACAGACATGATGCCCTGTTACCTCATAATATTTCAGAGTGTATTTCCTAAAAGTGAGTGTGTTCTCTTACACGAGCACAGTACATCTGTTAAAATCAGAAGATTAGTGTTCCTACAGAACTCCCATCTAATGCTCAGACCCCATTGAATTCACAAGTTGTCCCAGATAATGTCTGTCTTTGTCTGGAATCCAGTCCAGGGTCACTCTGTGCCTTCTGTGACTGTGTCTCATCTTTTCTGACCTTGGCACCTACGAAGAGTGCAGATCTTCAAAGAGGCCAGATTGCTGCAGAATGCCTGTTGACGGGGCTTTACCAGTGTTTCCTCCTGAGCAGATCCAGGTCGTGCTTTGTTTCCTGGAGCACTGCAGCAATGACATGGGCTCTTCTTGGGGCGTGTTGTCAGGAGGCCTGTGAGTGCCATTTGTCCTATTGTCGGCAACATTAGGTTTGATCACAGGGTTAAGAGTATCGTGGCCAGGTTTTTCTACTGTAAAGTTAAATAAGTACTTTATGCCTAAATTAATAACGAGGGTTTTGTGGGAAGATACAGCGAGACTATGTGACTATCAAGTGGTTGAGTGCACATCTACTGACTGAAAGGTTGGCAGTTCAGAGCCACCTACGATAGGCTTGATGATCTGCTTCCGAAAGTTCACAGCCATAAAAACCTTATGGAGCACAGTTCTACTCTGATACACATGGGGTTATCAGGAGTTGGAGTTGACCCAGCAGACCACTTTTGTCTGTTGGTTTGTCTAGTGTGGTGGCTTGTGTGTTTGCTGTGATGCTGGAAGCTGTACCACTAGTATTTCAAATACCAGCAGGGTCACCCATGGTGGATAGGTTTCAGCAGAGCGTCCAGACTAAGACAGACTAGGAAGAAAGGCCTGACAATCTATTTCTAACAATTAGCCAAGGAAAACCTTGTGACAGAACATTGTTCGTTATATTCTAGAAGATGAGCTCCCTGGGTTGGAAGGCACTAAAAATACGCAGTGACCACAAAAATGGACTCAAGCATACCAGCAATCATGAGGGTGGCGCAAGACTGGGCAACGTTGGGTTCTGCTGTTCATGAGGTTGCCATGAGTCAGAGCAGACTCAATGGCAACTAACAAATCTTAGCATTGTTGATGATCTTTGGCCAACTCAGTTATTGCTCAGATGGTGTCATGGATTGAATTGTGTCTCCCCAAAATATGTGTCAACTTGGCTAGGCCATGATTCCAAGTATTGTGTGGTTTTGTGATCTGATTTGATTATTTTGTGATCTGATGTGATTATTCTATGTGTTGTAAATCCTAATCTCTATGATGTAAATGAGGCAGGATTAGAGGCAGTTATGTTAATGAGGCAGGACACAATCTGTAGGATTAGGTTGTATCTTGAGTTAGTCTGTTTTGAGATATAAAAGAGTATTGAGCAGAGGGGAGAGGGACCTCATACCACCAAGAAAGAAGCGCCAGGAGCGGGGCATGTTCTTTGGACCTGGGGTCCCTGCGCTGCGAAGCTCCTAGACCAGGGGAAGATTGATGACAGGGATCTTCCCCCAGAACTGACAGAGAAAGCATTCCCCGGGAGCTGGAGCCCTGAATTCAGACTTCTAGCCTCCTGGACTATGAAAGAATAAATTTCTGTTTATTAAAGCCATCCACTTATATACTTCTGTTACAGCAGTATTAGATAACTAAGACGGATGGTTACCAAAGAGTGAACTTCTGATTTCCCCACTCCGTGTTTACTAGTTCGCACCCTACTGTAAGGATGACTTTTCTTTTCTTCCATTATGTGTTCACTGTGTCATTGTGAACATCATGTGATTCAGCAGGTTGTGATCTGTCACTGTTTATTTTGATGTCCAGATGGACCCTGGCTTGGCTGTTGGGAGCCCCTAATGTGGGCTTGTTTTATTGTCTCCTCAGGACACCAGCCATGCCCTTTGCCTCCTATGGCCTCCATCACACGAGCCTCCTGAAGCGCCACATCTCTCACCAGACATCTGTGAATGCAGACCCTGCCTCCCACGAGATCTGGCGGTCAGAGACCCTGCTCCAGGTGAGCACCGGGGAGGCTGTGCCTGCTTCCACCTTGAGACAGACTGTTCGACCACCTTTCAGCAGGGGGATGGGGGACAGTGTCCTACGGACAGCCCGCAGCCTGGGGTGGCTCTGAATTGTCAGTTTCCTGCTGTGAAGTTTAGAAAAACTTGAAACGAAACTCACCTACTTTTCTTACCTATATGTTGTTGACAGTGTTTTCTTTTTCAACTTTATTCCCTGTCCACGGGACTTTATGTTTTTGGTTTTTTTTCCCTTCTCGTGATGATGTTATCATTGCATAGTCTTTCAGTTTCTGATGGGTCTGTGTTGATGCTCTCCCCGCCCACCTGCTCAGGCCCTTCCACACATCACTGGAGCTGTTTGCCTGTGATCACCTCAGGGAGAGGTTAGACCTGCCCAGTGATGTCTCCTAGAGACCTTTCCATGACGCTGAGCTGAGGGGCTTGCGAAGCCTCCCCTTGGGCCAGCAGCTCAGCATTCCCGTGTGGTCTGCCTGTGAGGGCTCCAGCCTTGGGTGATGACTGCCTGGGATGTGGATGGGGGGGATTTTATCTCCCACCTCGTGTGTAACTCGTGTGTGGAGCCCTACGTTTTGACAGGTGACCATGTTATTTTCGCAGCAGCCCCAGGACATAGAAACAGTGGCGTCATGTCCCTGTTTGCAGAGAGGGGGACCATAGGGGTGGCTCTGACCACACACAGCTGATGTGGGCTGTCGGCTCTGCTGGCCTGTGACGAGGACAGGTGGCCAGGACACAGCTTACAGAGGTGAAAGAGATGCCAATGTCTTTTTTCAGGTGTTTGTTGAGATGTGGCTCCATCATTACTCACTGGAGATGTACCAGAAGATGCAGTCCCCTCACACCAAGGTAGGTCTGCTCGGCCCTAGACACGCCTTACCAGCCTGCTCCTTCTGTCCCTGAGCCGAGTTAGGTCTGGAGGGCTGAATGGTGGGCATGTGAGACCCAACATCTCTCCTCACGCTGATGCCCAGTGAAAGATGGATTTTGTTCTCTGATGCTGGGGTGGGTCTGTGTCCCAAGGGCTGGACAGCTGAGGCCAGGAGGTCTGTCCTCTCCAGGGCTAGCACCAGGTATCTTCTAGAGCCCAGCCTTAGTGGTGGGAACAGATGGGGGGTGGTACTCTTGCTCTGAGAGCATGGGCTAGCTCCTCTGGGAGGCTTGTCCATGCCTGCCTCCTCTCCCATCAGCAGTGCCTCCATGCTTGCCCAGTGAGATAGTAGCCCAGCCCAGGCAGACCCCCACTCACCCAGGTGACAAGCTCGAGCCTCTTCTGCCTGCCTACACTGCCCTCTTGCCTTCTCTAGAGCACCAGCAAGCAACTGGGTGTTCGGGGCCGTGCCCTCCTGCATGCCACCTGCCACCTCCTCCTTCCCTCCTCCTCCTCGCCTGTTCCCCTTTTCCTCCCCAGGCAGCTCAGTCATTTGCTGAGGTGTGGAACTGGCAGAGGGCCTGGAGTTCAGGGCAGGCTCAGTTCCAGCATCCTGTCAGGTTACTGGTTCCGTCATTCAGGGGTCCAGGGTGACGCTTAAGAATCACACTCCCTGAAGCAGCTTAGATTCTGCCTGTCCACACCCCTGCTGAAGACAGCGTTGGCCAAGACTCTGATGCTCACGGGTTCTGTACATCAACTTGGATGTTGTCACTGCTGGACAGAATTCCTAAGGGCTTCCTTAAGAATTAAGAATTGATGAGGAATAGAGTTAAAATGAAAATGGTGTCTGTTAAGCTTACTCTGTGGTTCTGGGGGAACCCACTGCCCTGTTCCTGCCGCAAAGCCTCTGGAACCAGTTCCCACACAGTGCTGTGCTGGGCAGGGGTGGGTGTACAGGGGACCCTAAATCTCTGTTCTTGGCCCTACGTGGCAGGAGGTGGGTGGGTCTAACAGCTGAGGACTCTGCCTGGGCCTCTCAAGTTGCAGGGCACCTGTGATGCCCTTCCTGTTTTTAAAGCAGACATGATGCATGCTCCTGACCGGCACATGGCAGTCCTGGCTGACCATGGCGGTCCTCTGAGCCCTGGCTCCCCCTGGGATCCTGAGTGCTCTTTCCACTGTGCATATGGCTGGGTCTGGTGGGCTGTGTGCTGCGTTAGCTTCCATCTGCTTGTTCTGTCTTTGGAGCAAGGAGAAGCAACCCCACTCAGTGTCGCCCCGTAGCATCAGCTTTGCCTGCTGGGATGATGCCTTCTGAGCTGTTGTCACCTATGAGAGGTTTGAGTCCTCGGAGCACTGGGAGGGTCAGGGAGGCTCTCCCTGTTGGAGATGCTGCCCTTCTCCCCACACTGCTTACTCTGGCCAGATCGTGGGTGGGCTGCTCAGGTGATGGCATTGGGGGAAGACTGGGAAGTCCTCCCTAGGTTGCCAGAGAGGCTCCTCCTTTTGCCTCCTCCTGTTGGGGCAGAGAAAAAATCCTGAGAAACTGGAGAAGCCAGATGCACAGGTTAGCCTCACCTGAGGCCCCACAGACTGACTCAGGCCCTGCGCCACACCAACCCCATGGTTCCTGGAGTCACTTCTCTCTTTCTGACCCTGTGAGTATAGGAGTATAGCTCTAGGAGACCCCACAGGGGGTCTGAGCATCACTTAGTCCCCCGAGTCCTGGGCCTCTATTCCACCTCTGCTTGCTGAGCACCACCTCTGGAGGGTTCCTGCAGTCAGTGTGCACCAGCATGGGCAGGCCGGGAAACTGTCTGCTCCAATTCCTCACTGCGCTCTGGGGCTGGCTGTGCATGGCTGTGCTGCCTCGCGGTGCTCCTTCCGACCTTGCCTGGCGTGTGTCTGGCTCCTTGTTGTCTGGCTTGAGGGTTCTGCCTCTCCTCTGTGAGACGGGGTGGGGCATGTTGCTTGGATGCGGGCATGGCCTTGCAGGGCGGGACGTCTCGTGGGCGGGCTGTGGGCTGTGCCTAGCTGAAGGGGTGGCTTCTGCAGGCCTCAGAGTGGCAGAACAGGGCCTGCTCCCCATCATGGCTGTTGCCGCATGTCCAGGGCTGTCCCAGCTGCAGGGTTCCACCTGCCAGGTCCATGTTTTCTGGGCTCCCGCCTTGGACAAGAAAAGGCCATGTGTATTGGAGAGTGGGGGATTCCTGGTGAGTAGGAGAGGCTGGTGTTCCCAGAACGAGAACCAATGAGTTATTTGCACCATCTCTGGGTAGAATTTCACCTGTAACGCTCTACCCTGTGGGGCTTGGCGGTGCTGTGCTCATTGTCTTTCATGCGCCCACTGGGCTGAGCCTGTGCCCATCTGAGTCACCTTCAGGAACCAGCCCCATCCCCTTGGTTCCCAGAGAAAGGGAGAATACGGTGATTGGGTTTTAGATAGATAGGAACTTATCATGGCATGTGCTAGTTTGATAAATTTCTCCTTAAGACAACCCAGGGAGAGCCACCAAACATATTTTTGTTCCGTGGGTGGAGAAGCCTCCATCTGGAGCTGACCCCTCAAAATTTCTCTTCTGAACCTGGGCCCCCAGGGCCATTGTGCTGGCAGTGCGCCCAGTGAAGGTGCCTCAGCTCCTGGCGGGCTGCAACGTGGGCATGTTCACACAGTGGAGTCCCGCAGGGTGAGGCCCCTTCCAGAAGGAAAGAGAGTCATCTCACCTCTTGAAGCTGGAGAGGCTGCTAGGGGCCTTCAAGTGATGCTGAGGGTCTTTGGCCTGGCAGGGCCTGGCTCTCACATGGGGGCCCCTCTTCCACTTTGCTGAGTCAGGAGGGGTCTCAGTTTGAGCCACTGGGAGAGTGATGTTTCCCTAGCTGAGATGGATGGGGCTGTGGTTGTGTGGATTATCACTGACAGTGATTTAATTTTTTTTTTCTCTACTCCTGGGCTTACTCTCACTTTTGTCTCTCTCTCCCACCTTCGCCTTCCCTCCCTCCCTTTCTGGTCCTTACTCTCCCTCCCCGCCCCTCCCTGCCTTCTGCTCTCCTGTTGCTTCTCTTGGCTTTTCTGCTCTGTTGTCTCAGCTAGAGGTTCTGCACTACCGACTCAGTGTCTCCAGCGCCCTCCACAGTCCTGCCCAACCCGGCTTCCAGGCCCTCCACACCTACCAAGTACTGGCCGTTTTGTTTGTTCTGTTTACTCCTGCCCCATGGTGCCGTCCGCAGAGTGCCTAGTCAGTGCAGCAATAGAGGCCAGGGAGCGGGTCTTGGACGATCCAGGACTAGCTCCACACAGAGTGAGGCCCAGTGGGTGAGGGTGGGTCAGCCTTCAGCCTGGCCCTGTGGGAGGGAGCGCCGCATGTGGTCCTACAGGCGGTAGTGCACAGACCTAGACTCTGCTGCTGGCCACTGGGCAAGGGCATGGGCCAGTGCAGCCTTTACAGTGTTCTGCCTCACTTTCCTGGTGCAGGGCCTCTGCTCGGAGCTCCTGGGCTTCTGGCTGGTGCAGGTCTTTCTCCGCTTGGAAGTGTCACCCAGCTTGGCCTTTGCCTTGTATATGAAGCTAAGGGACTGGGGAGAGCATGGGGCCTGGCCCCACCTCCTGAAGCCACCAGTCCCAGCACCAGCTGGCCAGGCCTCCACCAGTCTTAGCGAGCCACTCGTGGGCCCTCAGTGGTACACAAGGGCAGGTTGTGGCCTGGGGAGGGGGGTGCAGGCTGCTCGGGCAGAAATGGCAAATATGGGGAGGGATTTAGGGCCAGGAGTGGTGGAGCCTTGTGGTTGGCTTATTTGTGGGATGGGTGCCCAGGAACTGTGGGTCTGGGGCCCTGCTGTGCCTGGGTGGCCGGCCAGCTCACTCCCTGTGAAATTGTACACCAGTTGAATGTGAATTTTAGTACCAGACGAGAAAACATGCCTTGACAGTCGAGTGTTGGGATAGAATTGGCGAAGATGGTCCACAGTGGGGGTTCTCGCACATCTGAGCAGCCATATTGCGGGGAGAGGGGGTCCTGGGGCTGGTGGGGTGGCCAGGGAGGGTGTGGTGTGGAGAGTGGTGCAGTGGGGGCCATTTCTGGCCCCTGTCGGGGGTTATGTCAGCTAAGGGTTCCTGGGCTTATCCTCCTCCAAGTGCAGGAGAGGAGCCCTGACTTGAGGGAAGAGACCCTGGGAGGGCAGCCCGGAAGGGCGGTGCTGAGCCCTGGAGGTGGGGCCTAGTGAGGTGTGTGAGGCCAAGGCAGTTTCTGCCAGAGACTCCCAAGGTGATTGGGCTTAGGAGTTTGAGGACAGGATGTTTGACTTGACACATGAAGCGGGAAAAGTGCCAGAGGGAATCCCAGTGCACTGGCAGAGGGCAGGCAGCAGTCTCCAGACCCCCGGGAAGTGGGGAGAGGTGTCAGGAGTGGAAGGTCAGCTGGTGCCCCGAGATAGGGAGGGGCAGCTCCCTAGCCCCCTGGGAAATGAAACTCAAAAAGCGCACCTTTCATCGGGTGGAATGGGCTGTCATTGATGTTCTACAGAATTAGTCTTTATCGTTGTTATTGAAATATTTCATATTGCTCTTTAAAAATAGGGATAAGTGACTTTCCACCACAGTCCTACTCCTAGCGTGTGTCCTCTGGCTCTGCAGAAGCATTTTCATGGTGGGAGACAGTAGAGGTGTGGGTATAGCACCCAGTGGTTCTTGGGGCGCAGGCTGTCCAACCTCAGCCTTGCTTGTGGTTGGATGAGGCAGGCCGGGGTTCCCCTTCAGGTGTGCTGAGGCTCAGAGGGGCAGTGGGCAGGTGAGGTGGGAGGAGCCAGGGGCTGACATTGAGGGAGTCCTGCCGCCCCCACCCCTTTCTCCCTGCATGACGGTCGCCTGAAGGCTCCTGCCTACTTTAAGCTGCTGAGCAGAGCTGGACAAACCCCACAGTGGCAAGCAGCTCTCTGTCTCAGAGATCTTGCATTTACTTTGTAGTGACTCGGAAGTTGCGGGTACCCTTGTCTTGGGGGTTTTAGCTGACCACAGGTGACGAGGGAGGAAGTGCTGCCCCGTGTGCCTCTTACAGCCTGGAGCCCCTCCCCCTTGTCCAGAAGAGGAGCTCGTGGAATGGGTCAGGCTTGTAGCAAGGAGGAACAGTGACGTTTAACCAGGAACGGAGAAGCCATGGGCCTAGTGAGCTGTCTTCAGGACCTAGAAGCAGGCTGCAGACCTTGAATCCAGAGTGCAGGCGGGATTCTAGCTTTCCTGCCCTTGTGGTCCTCATCCTCCAGCTGGTCAAGAAGTGGGGACCCCTGAGGACATGCAGCCAGGTGGCAGTGACCGGTGTCACCCACAGGTGGTACACAGCTGTGCATTGTGAAAGTGGGAAACATTCTCTGGACTGGGTTGTTTTATCAAGCCCTCCGTTAGGGCTGTCTGTGCAGGCACTGGGCTATCATGTCACCATTGGGCCAGTCTCAGTTCAGACCAAGCAGTGCGGTGTACGGGTGCGGGTGCGGGTGCTAGGCCCGGGGTGGCCTGGGCGGTGGGCCCATACCCTTGGCATGGGCGACACAGCCTTGAGGGTGGGTATGGTCGCATGTGGGCCACACACAGGGATGCAGGAGCTCCCCAGACTGTCCCACGCCAACATATCTGTCCTCGATTCCAGGAGTCATTCACACCCACTGAGGAGCACGTGCTGGTGGTACGGCTGCTGCTGAAACACCTGCACGCCTTCTCCAACAGCCTGAAGCCAGAGCAGGTCTCGCCCTCAGCCCACTCCCACGCCACCAGCCCCCTGGAGGAGTTCAAACGGTGGGTATGGGCTTTGGGGGCGTGGGGTGTGGGCTCAGTCTCTCCTTGTCCATCACCTTGTCACCCACAGTGGGGTGGGGCAGGGGTGACACTTTTCCTGCTCAGGGAGGGTTCCTGCGGGGTGGCACAGGTGGGACATGGCTCTTGAGTCTTCTGATCTGTCTTCTCATCCCCACCTGGCCCCAGAGTCTCAGCTACAGAGGTGGGGCTATCAGCCTCTCCCCACCAGGCCTACGCTGTGCTCTTTAGTGCAAAGAGCCAAGCTGGCCATTGGCATTGGGGAGTCTTTCTTCCTACCCAAGCAAGGCAGGAGCGGATGTCAGCATTGGCGGGTTTCTGAGGAGCTTCTGGGATAGTAGACAGGCTGCGTGCACTCTGCTCACTCTGCGTTTTTCCAGGCTGGCTCAGCACCTGCTTTGTGGCCTGGAACATTCCCTAACCTCTTTGAATCACCTGCTTTGTGGCTTGGAACATTCCCTAATCTCTTTGAACCTCAAGTTCTCCCTCTGGAACATTCCCTAACCTCTTTGAATCACCTGCTTTGTGGCCTGGAACATTCCCTAATCTCTTTGAACCTCAAGTTCTCTCTCTGAAGGGGGCTAAGAGGACTCCTGAGGTCACGTGTGCCCAGCCCCAACCTGGCAGGTGGGCCCTCGGCACACGGGCCCTGGGCTCGTGTCCGAGCAGGTCTTCCCTCTGCTGGGCGAGCTGGCAGCAGGTTGACCCACCCTCCCCCACAGGGCTGCCATCCCGCGCTTCGTCCAGCAGAAGCTCTACCTCTTTTTGCAGCACTGTTTTGGTCATTGGCCCCTGGACGCGTCATTCAGAGCCGTGAGTGTTGTCCCCATGGTGCCTGTGCTCTCTGTGTCCCCGGTGGGGTGTGGGGCTCGGGGTCATGGGGCAGGATACGAGAGGGATGTGTCTGCCATCACAGAGGTCTGGAGGGGGACCTGGGTGGGTCTCACTATTCTGCCCACCTGAGTTTCCAAAGGCAGCCTTCCGGTACTGAAAACCTGTGCCCTGACTCTGAGCTCAGTCGTTTGAGCTGGGCGGCCACAGCCTCCCAAGCTTAACTCCCTTGAGCTGCACTCACCTCCTGGGGCTGGACCAGATGGTGAGCCTTACTGCTGAAGGCTGGTGTGAGGTTAAATCAGACCTCATGGGGACTGCTGAGCTCTTTCGAGCCCTGTTAGGGGATGCTTGTCTGCACCTGCAGTGAGGTTGTACCCGTTTCAGCAGAGCCAAAGCCCCACAGCAAGGGGGTAGGCCTTCTCCCCTCTGCCCATCCCAGTGCCTAGCCACCACCCACAGGGGACTCATGTCTCTCGCCAGGTCCTGGAGATGTGGCTGAGTTACCTGCAGCCATGGAGGTATGCACCTGAGAAGCAGGCCCAGAGCAGTGACTCCCAGCCCCGCTGCATATCGGAGAGATGGTGAGCCGGAATCCTCTCCAGCCCAGTGACTGTGCGGCTTCCTCGCAGTGGGCACTGCATCAATGGGCGGGGGGGAGCTGGGGGCCCAGGCTGCCTCAGTGGGGCTCTTCTCTGTGGCCCTGTGGGGTGAGCACAGGCTACCCGCAACTTGACCATTATTGTGGTGAAATACACGTGACAAAGCATTTGTCATTTCAGCGATTTTACGTGTAAAATTCATTGACATTAATAACATTCACCATGCTGTGCAAGCATCACCACTGTCTATTTCCAATTTTTTTCATCATCCTTAACAGAAATTCAGTGTCCCTTAAACAATGCTTCCCCATTTCCCCTCTCCCAGCCTCTGGTAACCACTAATTAGCTTTGGTCTCTTAGATTTCTTGCCTGTTCTAGAGATTTCATCTAAGTGAGATCACACAGTATTTGTCCATTTGTGTCTGATTTATTTTGCTCAGCGTGATGTTTTCTGGTACATCCACGCTGTAGCATGTACAGGACTTCGTTTCAAGGGACCTCGTTCTGGTTGGGGATTCTGTGGTCTCATCCTTCTTGCCTGCCCACCCATGGGCCCTCTCAACTGTCATTCCCAAGACCTTTATCTGAAAACCTAGGGACGGGAAGGATTAGGGGGCAAGAGCCAGTGCGGCCCCTGCCTCCAATGGGAGGGTGGGCCCAGGTATTGCACAGGCTGGCCCTGACCCATGCACTGGTCCCCAGGGCGCCCTTTGTTCAGGAGAACCTGCTGATGTACACCAAGCTGTTTGTGGGCTTCCTGAACCGCGCACTCCGCACAGACCTGGTTAGCCCCAAGAATGCTCTCATGGTGTTCCGAGTGGCCAAAGTCTTTGCTCAGCCCAACCTGATGGAGATGATCCAGAAAGGTGAGTGAGCCCTTAGCCCCAGGCCAGCCAGTTCCCAGTCCTGGTGGCATCTGGGCCAGGCCTGTAGGTGGCAAGATGCGGCACCTGAAGAGAGACCCAGGCTTGTATGGGCCCCGGAGAAGCCTGGTTTGGAGACCCCTGGTGCATGTTGGCATGGTGAGGATGTGTGCCGTCCCCTAATCCTCCCCTTCCTTGGGTTTTCAGATGAAGGTCTTAGGAATGACAGTTGAGGGGGCCTTTAGGTGGGCATGCTTGGCTGGTGCTCTGGATGTGCCAGAGGGAGGGAGGGCGCCACAGCACCAAGAGCTGTCTCCTCTGGAACTGCCTATCCTGTGACTTGTAGTGGTGTGTTTTGAGGCCATCTTCTTGGTCCGTCTCATACTTTTTATCCATTTCTCTTGGTGAGAGTTTGTCTTCCTCTTGAAACTGAAAAGGATGAGTGTCGGGCTGGGCCCTCAGGTCCTGCCATCCCTCTACTTACAGCCAACCCACATGGTAGCCACCTACCTAGCATACAGCGCTGCTGGTGCAGGACCTACTGCTCCCTTCAGAGGGCGCATGGTGCTCACTGCCTCAACCTCAGCAAGCCCTCAGGACTACTGCCAGTGGCCGCTCGGTTTCTTGTGTCCTCTTGAACTTCAAGTGGACTCCTTTCTGCCCCCAGGAGAGCAACTGTTCCTGGAGCCCGAGCTCGTCCTCCCCCACCGTCAGCACCGCATCTTCATGACACCCACGTTCACCGGGAGCTTCCTGTCATCCTGGCCACCTGCCGTCACCGACACCGCTTTTAAGGTGAAGAGCCACGTCTACAGCCTGGAGGGCCAGGACTGCAAGTACACCCCAATGTTCGGGCCCGAGGTCCGCAGCCTGGTGAGTGAGGCTCTGGGAACTCGCTGAGCTGGGACCTGAGCCCAGGGAGGACCGCAGTGCACAGGAGTGGGAGACACAGGAAAGGGAGGGAGGAAGGTTGGGTAGACTTGACTACGTCCCCTCCCTTTCTTTTTCAGTGAGTCTAATTTTTCTCTCATAATCAAGGCAGTGTGTGTTGGAAATCTTTCCAATTTAGAGGCCTTTAAAAATCCTTCACATGGAAGCTGAGCCATCCTGATCCCTGGTCTGGGTGCACACAACCCGTCCAGGCTTCCTTCAGGCCACCCCTGCCTGGGTGAATCTTGCCCATCTCCCCTGCTCCACCCTGGGCCACTGTGGCTTCTCCCAAACTATTGACGTGCACGTTCCCCCGGCAGGTCCTGCGCCTGGCTCAGCTCATCACCCAGGCCAAGCAGACAGCCAAGTCCATCTCTGACCAGTCCGCCGAGAGCACAGCTGGCCGCTCCTTCCTGTCGTGGCTGGGCTTTTGGCCTGTGGACACCAACAGCTCCTACCCGACCAATGACCTTGATGAAGTGGGACAGGACAGTGTTCGCAAGACCGACGAGTACCTGGAGAAGGCCCTGGAGTACCTTTGCCAGATATTCCGAGTACATGCTGCAGGGCTCATTATCCATGGCCCACAAGAATGCCACCAGTGCCTGCTGTGGCCAGCACTGTCCCCCTTCCCCGTGGCCAACACTGTCCTCCCCTCTTCCCTATGGCCAGCACTGTTCCCTCGGCTACCCCATGATTGGTCATGTACAGGTCTCAGGCCCCTCATAGATGGACCCAGTGTAGTTTCTGTCTTGGGGGCCCCTGGACTTGTCCCAGGGGAATGTCATGTCCAAGTCCCCTCTGTGCCGTGCTCGTGGGCCTGGTGGGGTGATGACTCATCTCATCTCTTCATCCGTGTTATCTCCTGACAGCTCAGTGAAGCCCAGCTGGCCCAGCTCACACTTGCCTTGGGGACAACGCAGGACGAGAATGGGAAGAAGCAGGTCCCAGATTGCATTGTGGGAGAGAACGGGCTGGTGCTCACCCCTCTGGGCCGCTATCAGGTTAGAGACTAGGGTGCAGAGGAGGCAGCCTAGAGAGGGTCCGTGGCTCTGTTGCCCCTCACCCCAGGGAGGGAGGCCTGTTTTTCTGGGTTGTCTACCAAGAGGTGCTTTCTGAAATGCCCTTGTGGCCCAGTTTCACCTGGTGCTCATCTCTCCTGTGGCCTCTAGATCATCAATGGCCTGCGGAGGTTTGAGATCGAGTACCAGGGTGACTCAGAGCTGCAGCCCATTCGGAGCTATGAGATCGCTGGCCTGGTCCGTATGCTCTTCCGGCTGTCCTCCGCCATCAACTGCAGAGTGAGTGGGGCGGGTGGCATCTCACATCGAGTGGAGTATGTGGCCCTCTGAAGGCTGAGGCTGCGAGAGGGTTTGGCTCTCCAGTCCCAGGAGGGGCCCTGCTGCCTGGATGCCTGTGGGATGGCTCTGGCCAGCTGCCCTCCTTACCCCATATGTGCCTTTGTTTGTGCTCAGTTTGCAGGCCAGATGGCAGCCCTGTGTTCCCGGGCTGACTTTCTGGGTAGCTTCTGCCGCTACCACCTCACTGAGCCTGCGCTGGCCAACAGGCATCTGCTGAGCCCCGTGAGACAGGCGCACGCTGCCAGCCGGGCCCAGGTCCCCAGGATCAGCCTGCGCTTCCTGGGCAGCTACCGGACGCTGTTCTTGCTCCTGCTGGCTTTCTTTGTGGCCTCTCTGTTCTGCATCGGGCCCCTGCCCTGCACCCTGATCCTCATCCTGGGCTACCTGTTCTATGCCACAGCCATGGCACTGCTCACTGAGCAGGGGAAGCCACACCAGGCCTGATGGCCAACTCACTTCCAGCAGAAAGAAACCTTCAGAGGCCCCTGGGGGAGGTGAAGGAGGGGTGAAGAGGCAGCCCCATGCAGTCTTCCTTCTGCCACTTGCAAGCCTGGGCACAGTCATCTTCACACTTGGGGGAATGTTTCCGACATCAGCGGAAGTATCTGGAAGAGGCCAAGAGATGAGAAAGGAGACCGGCCCAAGACATTCCACCACCAGGTCACGTCCCGCGCACTGCTGGAGGAAGAGCTTGCTGCCGGGACTGACCGCTGACACCTCTCTCAAGGCCTTTTAGTCATTGTGGGACTTAGCTCCACAAGCCCAGGAGCTGTGTACTGCCAGTGGCTCCTGGGCTCCTGCCTTTCCCCAGAGGCCTGGTCCAGCCCCAGCCTGGCCCCTCTGTTGTCCTTAATGTGATCAGATGTTCAGTGTGACACCAGGACAAGAGTTTAGCCTCTGACTCCAGAGAAGAATCAAAGTTTCCAAAACAGATTCCTGAAGAAATCACATTGTGGCTCTCCTCTGACTCCTAATTGCAGAGCTACTGGTAAAATGAGGGTCACTTTCCCAAGCTGGGCCACAGAATTCCATTTCTAAAGAGATGAAGGTCCTCCACGAGCACAGGTGCTTCCTAGGGAACTTTAGCCTCGGGCTTCTTGGCCCCCAGGTCATCACACCTACCACTTCAAGGTGACCCAGCATCACTGCCTCTGCTGCCATGTCATGGGTGGCACCCTCGTCCTCAGTAGGCATTGTCAACACATTCAAATTGATGGAGTCTGGTCTTACCAGTGAATACTCTACAACCAAAGATGGTTGAAAGCATTGTTTGTATCATCAGTAAAATCAAGTGCTTAAAGACGCAACCTTTTAATAAAATGTGAATACTCAAATATGACAACTATATGTTCACTCTCAAAAACAGTCCCCAAGGGGTCTCATGCACCTTCAGTTGTCCCACAGAACAGCTCTGCTAACAGCAGCTCCACTTGACCTTAAACCAGGCCTTTAGTTTTGGTGGTAGGTTGTGTTTTTTTTTTTTTTTAAATCCCCTAAATTTTCCAAAATGTAAATGGTAGGCTTCATATTTTGATGTAAACTCAGCATAATGGCATTTTGGTGCCTGGGACCAAAAACAAATCCAACTTACACCTGACCATGAATCTTGCTCCAGGACTGTTCTGGTTTCAGGGCTCAGTCTCCAGAAGTTCACGCAGGGTGCCCTGAGAACTCAGGAAGTCTGCAGAAATGGCCACTGGATGCCCATCATCCTTTCGTCCTGTTAACAAGTCTGGTCATCTGGTCATCGTTAGCGCTCCTTGCCCAGGGCCTTGGGAGTTTCCTTTACGGCAACAACCAAATGTGTACAGATTGTAATTCTGAAATGCCTGCAGTGGAAAAGGGAAGGGGTGTCCATTCGGAGCTGTGGGCTCCAGGCCCGGGGTGGGCCTGCAGCATGGTTCCTTCTGCTCTAAGCTATGTGGACTTGACCTGCTTCACAGCAGATCAGAGCGTGCCTTAGTAGGAAAGGCCGACAGTCCTGAAACATGAGTTCATCCTCCCTGTGGCTCTTCGTGTCCCAGATTCGGGAGCTCAGTGGGTCGTGTGTACTCACCAGCCCCATGTGGGCGCATTACCAGGAACACTGTAACAGCTCACACCTGAGCATTCACTGCACGCTAGCATGGGTCTATCAAAAATCTGCAGCCTGGGCTTGGCCAGCTGGACAGGCAGCAAAGGCACACGCCTCTGACCACACCCAGGCTGCCCGCTGAGATCTGCAGCCCAAGAGAGAGAGATGGATCTCATTGCGTTCTTGATGGTTGGCCTCAAGCAAAGTGGGCACTGGCTGACCCAACCAGCCTGCCGTCACATCCCTCAAGCCAAAAGGTGGGGTGGCCTTCCCTCAAACAGTTGTCAATTGTTAAATGTCCCCTTGGGAGATCAGTTGCTTTTTGTCACGATGGAAATGGGATATTAGATTTTCTGCAAGTTCAACATGAACAAATTAACTGGTTTTTGTTACCAGTCTCATTCAGTCAAGAGAAAGGGTGTGAGGGTACACTGCAAGACGATGTTCTGAGGTTAGATAATGACACTGCCCCCAACACCACATGCTTCGTGGCTTCCACCAACAAATGTATATACCTCCTGCCCTCACTTCTGTGACCCTGCAATCATCCTCTACCCATCACCCTCTCACCATCATCTCTCTTGCTTTTCTTCACTTGAAAACATGCTCAGAACTCAATAACCTAAAAAGCAAAAGCAAAATGCTACATTTCATCCACTTGTCTATTAACTGTGAGTCAGCCACCTGCTGGGTGCCACACTCAGCTGTGCTGGGAACACCATGGGGAACAGGCAGGACCTACCCACTGCTCCCAGGACCTTGCAGTGCAGAGCAAGCAGAATTCAAAAGTCCAGGAATAAGCAACCTACAATGTGACACCACAAACGGTAGTCAAGTACAGGTGGTTAGGCCTGAATGCCACTGTGTTCGAGAACAGCTGGGAGGGAACAGCAGTTGTAGGCACTCGGTGGCTTGGGCCTGGGGAGTGAGGGACTGCAGCAGGAGCAGGGGGGCAGCCAGGTGAGGTAAGGGTGACGGGACCTGTTTCAAATGAGCCAGGTTTATGTTTTGTAAAGATCTGTCACTACAGATTTGAGAAAGAACTAGCAGGGGTGGGGGAGTGGAGTGGAGGCAGGTGGGAAACCCTGCGTGAAAAGAGTGGGGCCAGGAAGGGAGGAGTGGAGGCTGAGAGGGGATAGGCCCAGAATGCTTGGGAGGTAGACCCAACCAGCCAGGCTGGACAAAGCCTAGAAACAGGCTCCAGGAGCTGTCCTGATTTGTTTCTGCCCTGACTCCCCCGACTGCCCCTGACTGATTACCCAATATGGCTGCCAGCAGGGACCCTGTGTTCCATTCCTCCAGGAGAGCCGTCCACTTTGAGGTCTACACCCTGGCATTATCAGGCTCTGCATAGTACATAACCTGTGGGGCCCTGAGTGGGGTGGCCTAGGCAGCTGAAATGACATTTTACATCTCATTTCCACTGACTGCCAGGGACTCTGACACAGCATAAGGTGTCTGGCCTGCAGACCTTCATGCTGTCTGCTCAGAACACACATTTGTGGCCCTTGGTGGGACATTTGCCTCCTCACCCTTTAAGACCGTTTTCTCCCTGGCGACCTGGGTAGGTACCCTTTCTGACAGGTAAAGTTTCCTAGTTAGGATTTGTCCCCCTGCTGCCCTCCTGTGTCCCATCTCCTCTTTCTCTCCTTTGCACTCTCTTTGCCCCACCAGGAGTTGCTGAACACACTGGGTGCACAGGGACCTGGGCTGAACAAATTCCTGAGTTCACCATTCTCAGTACAACTCAGGTGATTAACAGTCTTGTCCATCTTGAGAAATTTAAGGTATTAATTATCCCATTAAGTTACTTTTTTAAAAACCAGGATTTTTTTACTCTTTAAACTTTTCAGACATTGACAGCTTTTGAGGAGTTCCCTTCTGAATGCCAAAAAGAAAAAAACTGCAGAAACACAGGCCATGGAAACATTTAGATATCTGTGATAGTTGTGTGTCAACTTGGCTGGGACATGATTCTCAGTGGGTCGGTAGTTATGATGTAGTTTGGTAGCTAAATGATGATTTAATCACTTTCATAATGAGATCTGATATAGTCACCTCCATAATGAGATCTGTTAGGAGCAGTCAGTTGAAAGGGAGTTTCCTTGGGGGTGCAGCCTACATCCAGCATAGATGGACTTTCTGGCAAAGCTTGTTGGCTTTTGATCACCCTGGATCCTGTAGCTGGCTCCTGTTCACCTTATCTCTGGTTCTTGGGACTTGAGCTAGCAGCTAATCTGCTGATCTTGGGATTGGTCATCCTCCACAGCCTGTGAGCCGGACACCTGCTGTCTGACCTTCGATCTTGGGTTCACCAGCCCCTCCAGCTACATGAGTCAGAAGCCTCCAGCCTGACCTATGAGCTTGGGACTTTCCAGCCTCTAACTGCATGAGCCATTTCCTTGATATAAATCTCTCTGTATATATGCTTCACTGATTTTGCTTCTCCAGAGAACGCAGCCCAGACCACACCAGGATCATTTTCAACTAAGCAACATTAGTCACTTGTGTTAGATGAGAAAATGCAACATAGGACATTTGAGAAGGTTCTGATATGGCTCAACACTCCTGATACTTATGCTGGGGAAAAGGCCTCTGTGTGTCAGGGAAAGAGGAGAGTGGTTAATATATTTTAACTGAACAATAAACTGTCACCTAAACTTACCAGAAGAAAGGAAATAACAAAGATCAGAGCAGAAATAAATCAGAAAGAAAAAATAATCGAGAATCAACAAAACCAGAAGTTCTTTGAAAAGATCAATAAAACTGACAAACTTTTAGCTAGACTGACAAAAGAGAAAAAATGCAAATAGTCAAAATAAACGAAAGAGGAGACATTATAACTGACCCGATGGAAGTAAAGATAATTATGACAGAATATTATAAATAAATGTATGGCAACAAACTGGATAACTCAGATGAAACTGATAAATTCTTGGAAGCGCACAACCTACCCAAACTGACTCAAAGGGAAATAGAAAATATCAACAGACCCATAATAAGTGAAGAAATGGAGTCAGTGATCAAAAACCTCCCAACAAAAAAATGTCCTGGACCAGACAGATGGCTTCACTGGGTAATTCTACCATTTAGAGAGGAATTGACACCAATCCTGTTTAAACTCTTCCAAAAGATAGATAAGGAAGGAATACTCCCTAATTCATTCTATGAAGTAAACATAATCCTTATACCTAATTCATTCTATGAAGTAAACATAACTCTTACACCAAAACCAGACAAAGACACAGGAAAGAAAACTGCAAGCCAATATTCATTATGAATTTAGATGCAAAAACTCAACAAAAAATACTAGCTAACAGAATCCAACAGCATATTAATAGAGTCATACACCATGACCAAGTGAGATTTATTCCAGGAATGGAGGGACAGTTCAACATTAGAAAATCAATCAATGTAGTATATCACATCAATAGAACAACAACAACAACAAAAATCACATGATCATTTCTATGGATGCAGAAAAAGCATTTAATAAAATCCAACACCCTTGTTTGATTAAAACTTCCAAGAAGATTGGAATGGAAGGGAAGTTCCTCAGTATGATTCAGGGCATATATGAAAAGCCAACAACCAACATTATACTTAATGGAGAAAGATTGAGAGGTTTCCCCTTGAAATCAGGAATAAGACAAAGGTACCCACTCTCACCACTTCTATTCAATATTAGAAGTCCTAGCCAGAGCAGTAAAGACAAGACAAAGAAATAAAAGGTATCCAGATTGGAAAAGAAGTAAATTTATCTCTATTCACCGGTGACATGATTTTACATATAGAAGATCCCAAAAAGTCCGCAAGAAAGCTTCTAGAGCTAATTGAGGAATTTAGCAAAGCTGCAGAGTACAAGGTCAACAAACAAAAATCAGTTTGAGTTTCTATACACCAGCAATGAGAAATCTGAAACGGAAATTAGGGAAATGATTCGATTTACAGTAACATATGAGAAAATAAAAGTACCTAGGAATAAATTTAATGAGGGATGTGAAAAACGTAACAATGAAAATTATAAAAGACTTAAAATGGAAAGATATTCTGTGTTCATGGATTGCAAACCAATATTGTTAATGTCAGTACTACCCAAAGTGATTTATAGATTCAATGAAATCCCAATAAAAATTCCAACAACCTTCTTTACAAAAATGGAAAAACTAATCCTCAACTTTATATGGAATGGCAAGAGGCCCCGAATAACTAAAGCAATGTTGAAAAGAAGAACAAAGCAGGAGGACTCACACTTCCTGA